TAAGCAGGAACATTCGTTGGAAGGGATGCATGGATACTGTCACTGAGGTGGAAGAACAGACAGATCAGCAGCGGCAGGCTTTTTTCCTTAGAACATGGAAGCAAGTTGGCCGTTATATTTTGATTATATTTAATGCTGTTCCAGTCTTCACTAGTGGCAATACTGCAGGTATCGTCTCTCTTGTGGGTGCAGAAGAGGACAGAGCACCTTTTCAGACACCACCTCTCCTGATTAGACAGGATTATTTAATATTAACTTTACAGTAGCTCAGGGCCTGCCTGCTCAGAGGCATTGTTTCATCATAGGAATCTCAACTGCAGCCCACGCAAGGTCTGCACAAGCTGCTCTCATTTGGAGAATGAATTAGCTTGCCATCCACCAGGAATCACAGGCTTCCTGCGGAGCAGGATCTGTTGTCTCAAAGTACAGTAGTGCAAGTGCTAGCAAGCTGAAATGAGGCACAGAGTGAGGCTCTGGGAGTCCTGTGGGAAAATCACTTGCATCCTCCAGTGACTTACAGCTGTGAGATTTCTGTAGGTACCCTGTTAACTGCCCTCTAGCAAGAGGATCGAGTCCCAGAATAACTGTCAGTTGTCATCAAAAACACTGCTGTTCCTGTTACTGAAGCTGTTTTCCTTGACCATCACTCGGTATGAGATGCGCATGAAAGAGCCAGTGAGCAGCACAACGAAGAGGATAAGGAGCAAAGACCAGACCTTTGGTTCAATCCCCTTGAGGGAGCCTGGGCTGTCCTGGGGGGTGGTACTGGTCAGACTCAGCAGGTACCCAAGAGTCCAGCCGGACAATGCATCACCCATCTATTAAAATAAAAAGGAGAGGTCAGAATAGCATCAGTCTGTACCCCAGCTGTGTTTCTTTGCACAGGTCTAAGGCCTCATATACTTGACTGATCCAAGGATTAGGCTTAAAATGAGGAGCTCTTCCACTCCCCATGCTCTGACCAGCCTCACCTGGACCTCCCTCACTACCTCGCCTTATTCTGATGATTGCCACAGGGCTGACTGAACTGCTGTCACAGAGGTGGCCCTGCTCAGTGGGACTGTGCTGTTGCTGGTGAGCTGAGAAGAGGTCTGGGAACAGGCTTCCTTTTATTTTGTGAAGGGGAGAACTTTAATCAAATCCTCCTTTCCTGAAGCAATTCCAGACCTTATTAAGCCAGTTATAAACCCTCGCTAGTGTAATGGTGATTGCGAAGAGGTAGGGCAGCATCTTTTGGCTTGGGAAATATTATCAGCAGTTTGTCCTTAGCATTAAGTGGTGGTGAAGCCCTACTTCATCCCCTATTGGGCATAGATTCTTAAAGATGGTATTGCTCCAGATGAGGTTCTGACCCATGCATTTTCAGGGGGGACAAGTGTTATCTGTAACTCTCCAATGCTGGTTTTCTTCCCTATCACGAAGGTGAATTTATTGTGCAAAAACCATCTTGCTGGAGAGGAGAAACCTAGCTGGTTCGGGCTTGTAGGAGTGGGGACAGGCTGGCTTTACTGAAACCAATCCTCCCTTGTAATTGGAAATACCATACTGTAGGTAACTGACCTTCTGGAATGCTGTCCGAACTGACCCATCAAAGGCGAATGTGTATCCCTTTGTACTGAGATGAAAGATGAAGGCAGACACAAAGCAGTAGTCAGCAAGTTTATCCAGGTTTGTTCGGGAGTCCTTGATCAGCTGGTGTCATTTCCAAAAGAAAGATGGGGG